CATCTATGTAAACTGAAAGTTAAAACCTCGTGTCAGTCTCAGGGTCATGGTACAATCATTTTCTAACCGCTTGTCTGCCCAGTCGAAAATCCATGAACAAAGTTTTACATAAATCAGGGGTGGAAAAGAAGGAGCAAAACACTAAGTATTTCTGAGGCATATATTAGGTTGTCCTTAGCACACAGGTCAACCGAGGTAGCCACATGGAAAAACGTGATACTAAACAAGTCATAATAAAAAATACGTTATTTTTGTGCATTTTGGTGATAACTGCTTTGTGTGCAAAAGTAGCTGCAGTATTCAGAATCCGTAGAGCAGTAGTGATAAATTGAAATAAGAAGTCAGAATCTTAAATTCTGAGTGCAATTTATGGAGAGAGCGAAGTAAAAATATGGTCAACAAGTGAGTTGCTTAAATGGATGAACACAAAATAAGCTATTTAAATGTTAGGTCCACGAAGATTAATTCATCCATTCTGTTTGCGATGGAAGTTGTTGAAATCGGTTATAATAAATCTGTGAAGAATACATCATGAACACAACGTTTTTTAAGGCGTCTTAAGGAATTGCCGGCTTGCACATGAGCCGCGTGAGTTTTTAATCCACGATTTAGGTGAAATGGGAATCTGGTTTGGAGGTGATTTCAAATGCGGAATTAACCCGTTCATGCGCCAATCAGCTAATGAGATCGGAGGTATCGGGAATCGATTGGTGAAACTCATTGGTTCAGGAATACCCTGAAAACACAGTAATTATGAGTACGAATCCAAAATTGCACTATTAAAGGAACGAAAAGCTTTTCTGATAGTACCATTGCCATAATAAAGAAATGAATTTTGACTAGTTACTTCGAACAGAATATTGTCAGTCGGTCACCCGTCAACGTGTCTATCATCACTGAACTAACAGAATAACAAAAAATAGTTTTTGCAGTCTGAGGGCAGTGCAGTAGGCCTGCTTGCTCGACATACCCAGCTTGTCACCGGCACGCTTTCACTTCACTTCGCGCACTTAGCCCTCCTTTTCCTAGCATTTTTAGCCCATCACGGATGCACTTTAGAGCTGGCATGCAATGCAATGGCTTTTCAATTTACTATGGTGAAACACAAGGTGTACTTGTTTTTGGCAGATTCAGTGCAAGTCTTAATGGCACCACAACGTGGGTGTCACCACGTTCCAAACTGATCGTCTACGGAGGCGCGTCAATATTGGCCAAATTACATCTTCCTTCTCCATCCTGTAGGTGGCTTTCCTTCTTTCCCTATTTCACAGCAGCATTATCCTGCGGCTTCATACCAAAAAGTGAAAGTTGGTGATACATGCATGATTTTATTTAATTAGACATCATTCAATATGGGGTGAGAGGACTTGTGTTGCTCTACAGTAATTGATCCTCATCTTAATTTGTAAAACAGAAATGCAAATTACGATAATTGATCCCCCGCCAATTTAACCTTGTGGTTTCATTGTCAAAACTCGACCTTGTACCCCTCAGGTTTGGGCCAATTTGGCATCTTTATCCCGCCTACATGTAGTTGAATCCACAGATGTCAAGTTACACATGGATGGATAAGGTTACAGCTCAATCGTTCTTAATAGACAATGAAGTCTCTCTTTTAGTAAGGTTAACACCCCAATAGTTACAAAGTCTGGGACTGATAATTACATCAAACGCCCTTTAAGTGGTTTAATTAGCTATCCTTGTAATTTAATTACGGATAATTGAGTGTTATTTTATGACTCTTGACCCCATCATATTTATAAGGTATTTTAAGGATTTCTTGTCATTACTGAAAATTCTATTCAATATCCCCCTGGCTTATGAATACCCAGAGGAAATATTTGGCAGGGGATGGGGCATGCCAAGGTACACTTTGATTAGTTTAGTTATTCAATAAAGAAATGGTTCTTAAAGGAATAAATGCAATGTAAGCAGAAAGGGAGGTAGTTTGGGCATATGGTGCTTAGTAGTGGGTGTGTTGATCGTGGTTTCACACCCCCCTATCGTGCAAGGGAATCTCACAGCGATTCGATTATCGATAAATCGATTCTCCTTAGAAGTTAGGTGCAACATAGCCCTGTTTTTTGGGCCCTTCCTTGCTTTTGCATCGGAGCCATCAAAAACGGTAGATTAGAGGCTAATCAGACCACACAATACCGTGTTTGAGGGCCAGAGTTGGTGGGCTTTTGAAGCATCATTAAATGTAGAAAAAANCGGGCAGGATGTTGGTAGTAAAGGGCCTCATCCTAACTTTCAAATGTCACTGGTTTTGATCAAATTTGTAGAGGTTACTTAAGCTTGTTTATAAGGGAAAATGCATTATCCACTGGTCTTGAACTGACCTTAGATAAGTTAAAATTATGATGAATGTACATAAACCTTCCATGAATTAGTGTTCACACATAGGCATGTACCAACTTTTCTCTGGAATACCTATTCTAATTGCGATTTCAGTGGGTGACTGACTGGTGACTGCCAAGTCGAAATAGACATCGCCTTCCAGCCTTTCCTCCTTCCTCGTCCATTTTTTGCTAATAAGCCGATTAAAGTTATAAATTCACACCTCACAGCCAATTGCCTTTCAGTGTCTCACAAATCAATACGGTTTTATTGGTATCAACTCGTTGTGATGACTGTATAGGCGTGTAGGTGAAGCAGACATTTTGTGTAAACAAGCACACCTAGAAGCGAAATTCCCATGCCTTACCCTAGCCTCACATCTACAGGCAACAATGCGTCATTCGATTGGTTTCCACATGACGCAATATAATCACCGTCTACAGTGGTGCCTACAACAACCACAATGAGACGTGCCACCTCTGGCAGACATGTCCAATAGCCCTGTCTGACTTCACGTTATTAGGTGGAGTAGGTTTGCACAATCACTCGGTCTGAGTTCTGCGCATGGATCAAGCAAACCCACCGCCAAAGGGACCAACCGCTCTTTTGTAACCCCAGAAGATTTCGATGACAGTTAAAAATATTGGCATAGTTACCAAAATTTGCAAAAATTCTACGCTGAGGGTGATAATAGTGGTGAAAATCGATTTTATGGATTTTTTTGAGTGCCGTACCCCTTTCGGTTCCGTGCGGTCTAAACAAAGAGTGAAGAGACTTCAGATAAAGCAAACTGGAGGCCGATTTACTGTTATTGACTGAGAAAAGCGGATGTTAAATTCTAGATATGCCTTGGCATTTATTTACGACGTACATATTTCCTTCCTAATATTTAAAGCAGCAGTCTATGGAATGTTCACTCTCCCACGACAGAATAAAATTATTAATTGAAGACGACTTTACTTCCAAGGCTTGGGTTTGCATCAATTCTGATTTACCATTGCGTCTGGTCAGTTTATGCCGATGTCTTGGTTACCATCAGGCTATGAAAGGAGTATTTAGATGCTAGAAGGCAATAAAAGCATGCATTTTTAATACCGCCTCACGCATTTTCATAGAACGCAATGCAGACCAATAATGCAAATGTTCTTGTTTGCACATGTGAGACCTCCAGGTCGGGCGACGAACGTGTAAAAACCAAGGTTTAAAGTACACTAAAATGCTTTTAGGGTCACTACCACGTGTCGGGTTCGAGGTCAGACAAACCAGCAGGTTAAATCGCCAACCTTAACATTGGACTGCCGGGGTAGGCCTAGGACCTTTTATCCTTAAATTAGGTCACCTCGTGTGCGGTGGATACGTTCCAATTTTCGCAAGCGCGTGTACATTCACTCAGGGAGGCGTGATGGTGACAAGTGAATGTCTTAAAACTGAGATCAGAGACTTGGTGAACATCACCACCACTACCAGAGTGAGGGTTGAGATGTTTTACCTGGTAGTTAGTTACCAGTATTTCGGAGGATTGAACTTGGCCATAAATGAGAGGTGTTTCACTGGTAGTTATTTCCATTAGCACAAGGCGAAGTGCCAAACTCGCATCACAGGTACCATGACAAGCCGAGGATTCGGATTGACAGCCAGGTTCCACGACAATAAAATAAATTACCATGATGTTGATAGATGATAGGCTTTGGGGTGTGCTACTTTACACGCTTAGAGTTTTGACGCTCCTGTGCGTCACAGCGGTGAGGGACATTTATTTCTTGAAGGCTAATAGCTGCCGAATCGGAAGTGTTTCGTTGGAAAAATTAAACTGCGATGCAAATCCAAATGAAAATTTGAATATTTTAGAAAGAATGAAAAAAAGACAATTTGTTTGGTTTAAAATTAGGGGGAAAGAGGTAAGCTGAATTGAAAGGAGGGAAAATGGTGAATAGCGGCGAAAAAGGGGAACTTTTGGTCTACGAACAGAAGCAGAAGCTTCGATGAAAATGCCACAACGTCCATGCTGAACCGCTGCAAAAGTGCAAAGCTAAATCACCAGGGCGCGCCAATCACCAACGTGCTCGGTGCGTTCACGTGCGTGCATACGCGCGTCTGTCTGTGGTGACCTAAGCTATTCAGGACAATCGATGGCTTTTCCGGCCTTTTGATTGGCTAGAATGTGAATATGGCTGCCAGGATAGTGTGCGCGTATGCCTGCGTAGAAGGTCACCAGACGGACACACTAAGTCTGTTAAATCATACGTCTGCTGCACGTATGCACGCGCCTACATCTCTTTCGTGTCTGCTTCTGCTGCTATTTGACCAACGACAGTCTAGCCTTCAGTTGCAACGTACGCACACACATTGGTGGATGCGCAAGCACATCCACGCACGCACGCTCATGCACACGTACGCACGCACAACACGCAAGATGCACGCGGGCTGTGCGCACACACGCTTTTTGTGAAGGGTGATATCTGCACGCGTAGTGCGCCACTCCGGTCTAATACAATTATAGCGGTATTTTGCCGTGCCAACCTGCTGCTATTCTCTCTTTTTGACCCCCAAACGAACTCACACACACACTCCCTCTCCTGGACTACTTTCTTCACCTACCTTCTTGACAAATCTCTCATGTATATAAACAAGCCGCCTCTGGGATTTCACCAGACTCCGCAATGACACAGGCAGCTTCGTTTTCGGACAAGACTAACCCAATGAACCCTCTTATACCTCGTAATCTCTGCCGGCAAATGGATGGGGTAACTAACGGGGCTCCTCTCCCCAATCCACTCACAGCTGTTAGTTTTCTCCCCGATTCTGTGCGACTTCCCGCGGAAATTGAGGCCTCCTATCTCAACCTCCTTGCTATGAATTCTCACATTCTCTCGCCTTTTGCAAGACAACTTCTGCTAGGAAATCGAAACATTTCCAATCTCAATACGAAAAGACCTCTCGTTCCACCCCCACCACCTCAAACAATCACCAATTTTCCCAGTCAAGCATCTAGCTCTACGATTCCTTCCTCTACTTCTGTTTCCTCCTCCTGCTCCTCATTCTCCCTACCGAGACCCCACGAAATAGAAGAGACAGGTGAACTGGTCTACAGTATCGTTGAAGGCGAAAAAGTGATGGGTTTCAACGTCTGGGGTGAAGTTCGTCTCTGTCTGCCGCATTTGCTACGGTTTGTTCTCAACGATGTAGATATCGACGAGATCGGACAGGCCATTTCAAAACTGCGCATTGCCTGCACTAAATGCTCCCCCCGCCAACTAGCCATGCTGCATGGATGCAACGCTCTACCGAGTGAGGTTACTTCATGTGGGCTGATTCGGAAGAGCGACGCCGAGCGGATGCTAAAGTTTCTGCGATCTTCGCGTCGAAGACCTACTCTAGCTGACGCCTGCCCAAATATCGATACAGCTAATGGAAGGGCCTTTATTTCGGAGCAGACCAACAGTGGCAAATCGACTGAGGAGAGAGACGCAACTCTCGGGAGCTTCATCGACGTGCGACACGACTGCTTTGGGACGCAGAGAGGCCGAGTTTATCCACACCTCTACAACTCCGTCACCTCGCCGTGCATAGTCTGTCGAACGTGCAATAAGCTCTTCTCACCGCAGGATTTCGTCGGTCACACGCACTCCGTCAATGAGTCGGATGGTTGTTGCCACTGGGGTTTTGATTCCACGAATTGGCGATCCTACCTTCAACTTGACATCGACTCAGTTGGTCGACAGAAGAAGGTAAAACGTGAGAGTAGCGAGTCTGGGGAGGAGGAAAATCCCGATGTTCGCACCTACCGTGCTCTTAGGGATTTCAAGGTCAAGTTTCTTAAGGTAAGACAATGTATAATAGTGGGTACACTAGGAGGTCTAATGTTATTTTTTTATACTTTACATATGTTTAGTATCTTCCCATTGCCAGTCAATATGTTCATAAATGCAAATGTGCTTGATAGTTTAGTGAAACTAATATTTGACCAATTTCCCGATGGATGACGCAGAGGTGGTGAATAACTTCCCTCTCCCCTCTGCCACCCGGCATGTCATGACATTCGATTGACGTGTTGGCCCGCTGTAGGCGTGGAGGTGACCGGATTTATAGACGCGTTTCTTACTCACCCCAGTAGGTGGGTGGATGGGTAGATGGATGTTTTCCATCTTGCTAATTTAGCCACCAGTGCTCCTGTGCCTTCGCTTTGTTGGAGGCCCTTCTGTATACCCTGGACAGCGGGGTTTGACAGTGCAGCGTCCCCCTCTTGGCCACAATGCTGAAAAGTTACAATTAACTACCACTCCGCTACCTCGTCATTTTGTGCTATTCTAGCCTCTGCATTTACCGAACGAAATCACAAAGATTGTACCTGGACTGGAGGGACACAAGACTGATGCAAAAAAGCAGCAGCTGCTCCAGGCTTCTTCAAATGAGGCTCAGCCTCTTGACTGCTCTACGAACAAGCCTCCAAGCACGCCATCTTCCTCTACTGCTCCCGATGTCCTCCGACCTGCTCCGGAGGATCAACAACAAGCTCCAGACGACACTCGACTAGAAATCCGCCTGCGTCCTAATCTCAAAATCCGTCGACTTTGGGCACCGCATCAGGGTCGTCTGCGCATTCCCAATCCCCCAAAACTCATATCCGATTGGTTCGTGGGCTCAATATTTTGCTTTGTAGTTCTGTTAATTGGTATAAAAATTTGTTTTTTCCACTTTAATGTTTAGTCCTCGAGGTCCAAAGCCTCGGAATTTGTCCTCCGGCCCACCGGTTCTCCTAGATCCCAGTTGCATAGTAACCAAAGATTCCGCTCAACTCTATGGTCGTGATTTCATTCCAAACGTCTGTTTGAAACCTGTGACCACCCCGGCATCGACAGGGCCGGGTGGACAATCACAGCTGCACCTTTCGAGAAGCCTCCCCAGCGTTCCCTCCAACGAGGATATAGTCGCCTCAGCGGCAGAGAAGCGCCTCTCTGAAGCAGATCTCTTTCCCGATTTGAAAGCCCCTGGCGGTCATCGGAGTAGGCCAATCCTTCGCGGCTCGGGCATTCCACTGTCCGCGGATTTCAATCTCTTTCAGCACTCCAACCAGGGACTTAATTCTATCGACAGCTCGCCCGCGAGAGCACGACACTCCAGTTCCGCACACGATGCTGCGGTACTAGCCCTCTCGAACCCCCTCGATTTGCATAAACGGTGTGCCACGGAAGAGGTGCTCCGATGTCCCTCGGTTGACTCTGCGCCCGCCCCGCCCTTCCACGGACAGCTGAGTCGAACCACCTCTGACCCAGAGATCAATATCTCTGCCGTCCGATCAGGTGTGAAGCGGGGACACACGGGTTCCTGGTCGTTAACACCCGCCTCCTCCAGCATTTCTCCCTCACGAAGGAAGCGTCTGTTGGAGACGACGGGGACGAGTAGGGAGGATCAAGTCCACGCAATCAGTAAGTCAGTCTTTCTCCTCATCGAATGTGTGTGGATGTGCATTTATGCTTTTGTAGATCCATAGGCTTTTACGGCATGTGCCAAACCGACTGCTAGGTTTTTTCGGTCAATTACTTTTTCTTTTTTTCTTTCTGATTGTGTGCAGGTGTATGTGTGTGCGATTGTGTGCAGGATTCAGTGTATTTGCGTTTCTTAGTCGGTGGCAAAAGCCAGAAAAGCTCGCACTTCATTAACCGGCGGAAAAAAAATCGCTTGGGTATTTTACCCTTTGCTGTGTGCTCAAAAATCGGTCATACCTTGACTTGTACCGATAAGGCCGCTGTGATCGGACCTTTTCACAGCTCTTCGGTTCAGCCTCACCACACAGCAAATCACCCACCCACGTGCTCATTATTTGGACCGATGATGAAATGTTTAGATGCACTAGGGGGAATTTCATAAGTTCATGCTAAGGCATTCAATTTTTGTGATTTTTAAGTGTTTTGTAGATAGTTTTTTTAACATGGTAGGAGTGAAGCGATCCATGCCTCTGCAAGATAAACCGATTCTCAAACTCCCAACAGCCACCTTTCATTTCGATTTAGTAAGTTTTAGAATTCTTTCTCCGTCTAGTAAACAGGCAGAGGCAATTCTGTATTTGGGTATTGAAAAATCAAATTTTGACATGTGTAAGAGACTTGCAAGTTGCTTTTTTTTGATTTGCTTCCAAGCCAAAATTCCAATATATGTAACCGATCTCTTTGTCAAGCTTACCTAGTACTCGGAGTTACATTGAATACTTTCTGGACAGTTAAACTTCCTCACGTAGTCGGAATAAACCTTTGTGACGGATCTGCTGCTTCCTGTTTTTGTCTTAGATGCTTTTGAAGGGGTTAATTAGGTGTAATACTTATTGATTTTTAAGGGCCATTGACATTTTAGTTGATTGGAGTTTAATCACCTTGCCAAACTAAATTTAATTCGTCCCTAAAGACGGCTTCCTTTGATTCCTTTTCTCACGCTTTGACATTACTCAGTGCAAATGATAGCGTCCTTGAGACGAACCAAAAGTGGGCTCCTAGTAGCGAGACACGGATCCCGTGTGTGTAGGTGCGTGTCTCAGGTAGCTACATAATCAACTACGCGTTAAACTCGAGTTCGTGTGAAGAGCAGGCATTCATAGGACCAGTCACCTGCTACTTGAACCTGTCTGAAGCGAGAGAGGTTTTCTCCCCTCCAGAGCTTCATTATTGCTTATATTGGAGCACAGTATCCATTCGGAAATGGTTCACTGATCCGAAGTTGATTATTTTGCTTTTCGCATTACCTGAGGGGATGTAACCCTTTTCACGTTTCCATTTGTTTTTCTTTTGCCATTCAGAACGAATGTAAATGTACTTAAAGTATCCTGGCTCCACAGAAATTACCATATTCGCATGGCATGGGAACATCTGACTCAGAACCACTGTGCTCCTATTTCACTACGCAATCCGTTAATGGCGGGCACTTAATTAAGCGGACTTTGGGCAGCTGTACCGCTGCTGCCACCGCTGTTTGTTGATTAAATTTCCCATCACTTCTACTAGGAAAAAACTCATTACTAGTCTGGTAATACGCCTCTATTTCCTAATAAATGGTAGGTGAGCTTGGGAATTTTTGAGCAGCAAGTGTGCATGACGTGTGTGCATCTCTGTGTGTGTGTTTGGTGGTCGTAACTTTAGCGTCACCATGATGTAATCAAATTCACATTTACACACATACACACAAAGACTGATGCAACGTGCGAGGGCGAGGACTAATAGCCTTTATTCCCTACTTGCAGAGTCGGTTGAAAACAGACGTCCAACCACTACGGAAGAATCCTCTCTCCACCAGTTACAGCACCAGTCCCAGAACTGGTTTTCAAACGACTCCTTGTCGAGCCAAACCACTCCTGAAATGCTTATCAATCTGGCAACTGACGCCAATCCCCGGATCCCCAACATTATTGCCCACTGGACCAGCACACTGGAGCGTATCAATCAGTTCTGCAATTCTATTGTCCCCACCGACGAGTCGGCTAAACGTCGCTTCGACATTGAGCGGCAGAAGTTGATGGTGGATCTAAATATTCTCCGTGAGAAGAACCTCCTTGACCTGTCCATGGTCCTGAAGGATAACAAGAGGCTCTGGAAGGTAAGCGTCCTGTTCAATTTCAAGCCAATGAAGTGAAACAGTTCGATTGCAATGTTTATACTACATAGAACTGCTTCTTTGCTTAATCGTCACAGCGAGAACCTTCAGTTGTTATGCAACGACATTTAAAAGTACACGGGGTGACGACGTTGTACTGCACCGCATTGCACTGCATTTGCAATTAGCGGTAAAGCTTTTAGAAAAAACAAGCGATGCACTTGTGTTGCACAACGAGGCACGGTGGGTATGGCATAGAAACATGTGAGTAGGAGCCCTCTGAGGTCTTTTGCCCTCTTCGTGTGTGATCTTGCCTAGGCACATTCTAGTGGCTCACAGAGCGAGGGTTTGAGTTGCTAGCGTGGGTAGGCGGACACTCCTGGGAAGCAAGAGGTGTGCGATACACAACGCACATACGGGTTCTTGTAACGAGTAGGCGCTGGCCTATGAGACCGTAGCTTGCTAATGAGTCACCACATGTGCTATATACGCCGCACCGAGCCTGTGTGTGTGCATGCGTGCATCCCCTCTCTTCATGCTGGCGGTGATGTCTAATACTCGGGACCTGCGCTACATCTTCTTGTGCACCGTGCAACCGATTGTGAGCGTACGCACGCACGCTGCGGACTTGCTTCGTTATATTGTGCCGCCGGTTTGAACGTCACTCAAATCCACGCCTCTGTGTGTGTGTGTGTGTGTGTGCGTACGTGTGTGTACGTATTACCCCACAGCTGGAAAAAAATCGATATCTTCGGGTTCGCGACACTGCCTCCGCACAGCACCTGTGTAAGTGCAGCCGCGCAAACCGAAAATCGATAACTTGAGGTTCTAGGTTGGGAATAGGAGGAAAGGTAAGAATCCACAGCCAGGTTGGCTGTGTGGACTTGGACTCCCGTGGGTGTTCTCGAAATTCCGTTCACATTCTAGCAGTGCGCAGGTAGAGTTGGTGGGGCTACGCTTCCGTCCCCAATGCTGGACGTTAAGCCTCGTTTTCGGTCAGGCTTTTGTAAACGGTCTCTCCCTTTGTGTATGTGCGCGGGCGGTTCGAGATATTGGACAATGGGAAGGCTAAGTGGGTCACCTGCTTATGTACGCCTGTGTGTGCGCACGTACACCCACACACAAGTCGGCCGTGCATCTGTCCTCTGACGATTGCGGGCTTGTGTGGAGGCATTCTGACAATCCGTTGTCTTGGTCCTAGCTCCTGACGGACGTCCTTCTGCTAACTGGCGCCTCTCCTTCCCTCACTCCCAACACTCTTGCGCCGCCTTGCGGAGTCATTCCCGGAGTGGCCGATGTTGATCAGATTACCAGACTGATAAATCTGCTCCAAGGGTTCAAACCGAAGGTTACTGGCTCTGAAGTATGTAAAATCATTCCTTATTTTTAGATTTAAAAATCCACAGAAAATTTATTTGAAATTAAACGTTTAGTCGAGCCAAGGTAGCCACACCAATTGACCAGCTAACCAATCACTCAATAGTCCTTGTTGGGTGTCTGTGTGTACGAGTTTGCGAAGCGAGTTCCAGTTTTACCTATTTCTTTCAATCCTCTGATTTGCTTTGTTTTGAAATCTGCTGTCAGGGTAGATGTGTGTACACACCAACTTGCTGGAATGGATCCAGGTATTGATCGCCACATTCAATTACGCATTTGGTTTTTGTGCGTGTGCACGCGTTCGCACGAGATCCGATGTCAGTGTGGTACGCATACAATCCTGCACAAGTGTCACTGTAATTTCAGCAACATTGTGCTCAAAATCTAAGTTAAAAAAATTATAATGGATTCAAGGTTGGCTAGAGAATTGTGAGCTTGTCTATGAGTTCGTCTAGTGGTTGTCCAATTACTTTTCAGGAGTCAAATCGAATAATGACTCCGGAACTCCTAACGCAATATTATTTTCTGCAGTAGCTCCTAGCTTTAGGTAAGAATGAATAACCAACTGGATTGACGTCTGAGTGTGTGAATATTGAATTTGGGTTCTCATCTCGTCTGAAAACCGCGTCAACACAGTGAACGGTATTTTCCAATGGTATTTCCCAAAAAGGAAAGGTCATGTGGTCCCCCCACTTCTTTTCCAGGCTACTCTTCCCTTTCATCTTATTTGATGGGCAAAGAAAGCATTCAACTCCTCCCAGTACTCATGAATTCCGGCAGGATTCTTATATCGGCATACACAGGTTGATGGGGACGTTAAAACTCATCGAGGAAGACGAAGGATCATGCTTAACCAGGTGTCGTTTAAGTTGCCCCTGAAGATCTGGTAAGAGTTGCGCATGCAAAGAATCGTAATGAAAATATTCGGGGGAACTGGGAGGCGAGTAATGCAAGCAGCTTGAGGTGATCTTCATGTCACCATTGTAGGCGTCGAATTGCAGATGACAGAATAGATCTGGACAATCGCTGTAATATCGAACATCAAGAATTTTAGGAAGTTACGCAAAATCAATTGCTTTTTCCACCTTAATCTGATTTCATAACAGCATGAAGTGGTAGTGACGTGGTAACAATCGGGAATGAACCGGCTGGAGGTAGACATTTTTGAAGATGGCAATGATAAGCTGCTTCACTTAATGGTTGTATCAGAGTGCAAGATGCAGCAGAACTTCTGCATTGTTTGGAACCTATTATTTGTCTCCTCATCTCAGAATTTCCGACAATCTGCTTCCATGGCGGTCACGGAGTATCAACTGAACGAGCGGAATCGACAATTTTGGCCACCCTCAAACATCGGCTATCGATCAGCCACTCCAGAAATGCTTCCCACGACATTCCCCTCCGTGCGGACAAGCAGCCTAGCAACCGCTGCCAACGGAGCCGAGAGTCCACCACTTTCCTCCGGTGACTTCCTGCTGCCCTCCAAGCGCCAACGCCTATTTCGACATTCCTACTCAGCCAGCAGCAACCTCAATCCCTGAGAAAGTGGAGAATGGGAGAAGAGGGGAACCCACCTAGTTCAAATACCCCCACTACTGCTATCACCAGTCTGACTTCTAGTCTATTTTATCTTACCTTGAGGCGTTTGTCAGAGAAAGCCTGACTGGTGTGTGAGCCTTTTTGTTACCCTCGTGCTGATTGGTTTTTGCATGCCTTCCCATCCCTTGTTCGCCCAACAAACCACCAACTCACCTTTCCTTTGACGGATTTAGCTTTTAGCCAGTTGTGTTTTGGTAAGCATTACTCCCTCTCTTCCCACTGCGCCGGTCTCTTATACCCTTCATCCCTCACTCTCCCCTTGTCCTCACAAATGACCTTGGGGAGTAGCTATTGTGTCCTGAAGAAGAGGAAGAAAGAAGACTATCTCATTCACGCGCCCACCTTTATCATCGCATTCAGATTTCCCCACTCCCCTCTCTTTACGAGTGTGTGAGGCCGTATATTCACACCCACTCACTCGCTCACTATGTAAAACTATTTCCCTCCGCCTTTCGCATCAAGCGCTTACCTTCTCTTAACTAAATATCTATCTGAAAATAGTAAATTTGTCATTCATATATACACACACATAAAACAAATTAAATATGTATACATGAATGCATCTACTTTTACTTACGTAGCTACGTTGGTAAGTCTTTGTTTCTACATCACTGCTTTCATATTCCTCCCAAAGGGCCTTCAGTGGCAGCTATGAATTTGCAACGGTAGATATTTGCATTACAATTACTATTAACGGTGGTTTGGTGCTTGTGATGTCCGATGGCGAATCTAGAAGTACACTAGCATAATTTTCGTCATGTAATGATTATTTTGGTGACTTAGTTGGGGATCTTGAGCGAATTCTACGCGGTCTGCTGTGGGGAGAGGAGGCGACTCCTCCCTGGCAGACTGAAAGCACAATCGAGGGAGACGCGGCTGCAGATCCGTCTGTCACAGTTGGGCCAAGTTGTCTGAACGATCCGCGAGGGGAGGGAGGTGATTGGTCGGGTAGTAGAGCCATTGAACGATGGCGAGTTGAACAGACGAGTACGCGACTGAACAAGGGAGACGTAATCCTGCGTTTGATTGGTGGATGCAAAACCACGTTCACGCGACCGCAATCTCCTTTCAATTGGTGATAACACAAAATATTCACTTGGACGAGATCAATTATAAACTAGCACATTGGTTTTAATTGCTTATTTATCTCCTTGGACATAGATCTACCCAAACGACTTTCCAAATGGACACCATTTGAAGCTGATTTTGGCACTTTCCACTATTCTGTTGATTGTCTGTCGCAGAGCTGCTGGGACAGTGTAATTCTTATTAAAATTTGTAAAACTTGATTTTTTTTACTCTAACAGTCCCTAAAACTTCCACTTCGCCCCCAGTGGATTAAACGCAAACCCAACTAAGAGATTTCAGCGGTGATAATCTGACCCATCTATGGGAACGTTAAACGGCAAGTTAGTAATAGTAACTGTCACATCTCATTACCCATATGGGATATTCTAATAATTCTCAAATTTTGGTAATTTTTTTGAGTGAAACAGATAAATAAGGGGCTGGAAGGATACAAATATTCCATATTACACGAGATGCGGCGATGAATGCAGGAAGCTACACAGCTTCACTCCGAGACAGGCGATATCTTTCAGAGTGTCCTTCCATTTCACTTGCACATGCCATTTACTATTCCTCACTGGCGAAACAAGACATTTGTGTCCTCTTATATCCTCCTCTAGTTACGAGACTACCCCCAAGATGAAGCAAGGTGTTGAACGTCACCGACAGTTACAATTTTGCCTGCAAGTATGCTCTTAGTTTTTTCGGTTCTGATGAAGTAATCCACGTTATTTAAGTGCAACTGGCATGTTCGAATTTCAAGAAACACGAAGGTTTAATCTAAGCCACTTAAACCTCTCCAGCTAACCTGTGACCTTGAAAATTTCAGCGGTCTCCATATTTGGCCAATCTCACGCTTCGGCCAATTCAGATTCAACTGTGAGCCCGAAAACGGGATTACCGATTTATTTTCGGGATCTGTAAGAAATAAATGCCTTCTTTAAATAAGGCCCAGGACAACTAAGGAATATTGAAGATATAGTAGTTAACTGATTACCTCCAGCCATGAATAGTGCTAAAAGGGTGAAATGTGACCATGGACTAATTTTTATGGTCAAGTTAATAGAACTTTAGATCTGGTTGGTTTACAAGAGGGGTCATACGCAAATCAGTGGCCTAGCAGACTAAGCAAATGATTTGCCTTTAAGAAAATATTTAGCCAAACAAAGTATCAACTTTAGTACTTTTCTAAAGTATAATGAAAAGTCATTCACCTAAGTATTGTCCTCGAATATTAATCAGTAAAGAGGTTAGAATAAAAGCCAAAATATGTTTGCTGCTTAAACAAATGGATACTTGACAAAATAAAAGTAAGAAACTATGTGGATAAGGCGAGTTGTGATGTAATGGTCACGTCTTAAATGTTACGGAGGGAAGAACTACATGCGTACTGAATGGTTTACTACTTTGATGTTAACAACCGTGTTCAATCAACATGTAATCGTCGACCACTACCAAGCATAACTGCTAGATGATCTAAGTGGATGGTGTTCTGATTTAACAGCATTGCCTTATGGGCAGAAAAAGATTAACTTTTACACTATTAGGTATTCATGGGTTTCTCTCTAACCCCTCTTCTCTCTCAGTTTAGAAGCTGGGATTTCGTAATTAGTCGGTAGACAGGAAATCAATTGACATGTAACATGACAACTCGATTCCAAACGGAGACGAATACCATTTGTCCAAGCATCTTATTAGGCCTAATAGAGAGGCAGCCACCCTACTGGAAGTGGCTAAACAATGGTTGAGATTGGAGTAAGTGAGTGATTGAGCTCGAAGGCGTATTCGTGACTAGTATGGCGCCATATTGAGAACTGATATCTCAGACATGTTACGGCACAGAACGGTTTACTGCATGACCTGACCTGCATGTATGGATATTGTGAAACCGGGTCAGGCGCATGCATGCTTACATTACAAAGAACCAGCAGATTCATGTCTGCCTCCAGTGGAGTGACACTACAGTGATCTACTACACGAAACCATTCTGTGTACCAGCAGATCGCATTTTTACTGATTCTACTTAGGGCAACCATTCTCTAGACAAGCAAAGCCTTCCATCAACCTCTCCATTTAATTTACGCATCAAGTAGAATTATCGGTATTTTAGTAGACAGGGTTGGACCTCTTCCCTTAAAGTGAGGTCATCCACATAAGGCCTAATGGCACGGAAATTCGAGACTCAGTTAGAATAACACCCATCATAGAATAGCAAACTCCCAGCTTTTTTGTACGTAGACAATATTAGACAATTCCAGATTCGTAGAGCTTGTAGAGACCTTAAGGATGGCTTTAACATTGCAAAAGTGTTACACAGTGTAATTAGGCGTCCTATCTTTGTTATTTTCACGTAGAACGAAAAAGGGAGTTGGAGGGGTGGATGGAGAGGCGATGTGCGACCGAATTGGTGGACACCCCTGGAAGAGGTGAGCCTCATTTCGGTCCAGCCTTGAGTCAATCACACACTGGCCTGCATCCGCAGGGCAGACATCTCCGGTCCAGGTCACCTCAGGCGAAGACTGCAGGCACAAATCTGTCTCGATGGTATTGTAACAGAATAAAACTTGTTTTAGTTGTGCGGACTTTTGACTCGTCAGTTTGCGGTCATCAAGACATTGGCCTAAAGTTTTGCTCATGGCGCTTGTGTTATACCCTTCCAGACCTTATCTGCATGTAAAAGCGTAGGAGATGTCCCTTAAGCCCATTCCCTCTTATGAAACAGACCGGCTCTTTCTCGGATGCTTTAGGAGATCGCTGATCTTGATGAGTCAGGTGGCTTTTTCAATAAAGGCGGCGTAGGAAGAAGACATTTTATGCAAGCAGCCGCACTTTAGAAGGAAGGGGGAAAGAAAATTCACCACAGCAGTGGCACATATGAATTGAATTCAAAACATCCCTAAAAACCACTTCCAGTATTTCCATACCAAGTGAGTAAAAGAGAGGGATCTATTCCTCCCCTCTGCGTTGCAAGTGGTTGAAATGAATTTAGCAAGATGGCTGTTTAATATTGAAATGGGGATGAAGAGCGACCTTACTTCAGAAAACCACTTAATTTTGCTTATCTAATGAAATAGTTTTGGCTCTACGTAAATGTTCCATCGAAAAGCGTTTGGATTAGGAAATGTACTCGCTGTAAGCCAATACTTAACTCTAGGCAGAGTCTGGCAAATAATTTACTATGATGCAATTTACACATGACAGGTAACAAGTGGGTCCACCTCTACCTAGGTGATGCATAATTGCTTTTTTTCCGGGTGTGACGATCTCTTCTTCTTTAGCGGTTGACATAGAAAAGGAGGCACAGGAAGGGCCGGAAGAGACCCTCAAAATAGAAAGGAACCCAATGACAGGAAGGTATTTATTTTAAGCATAATCAGAACGCCGCAGACACTTTCCTTCCACTTAAAACAGTGGCATGGAGCTCCGGTCATGCCGGCTATGTAACATCTTTAAAGGAGTCTAGTTTACATTTTAGGAGCATTTGACCGCGTTAAATCCCACGGTGTCGGGGAAAAGTAAAGGCAGATTTGATTAAAAATGGCAGTCGATACTTAATGGACTACATTATAATTAAGTACTACACCAGATCACAAGACATTATTGCCCTGGTTACAGTATATCACCGCGGACGCGGAGACCATTTACAGCCGTGGATATGGTCAAAGGAAAGCGAGTGAACCATGGAGGCGGATGAATTAACCTCGAATCGCCTTTTAGGTGCTGACCCACTTTTACCGCCTCAGGTGTTTACCAAATAACCTAATCACGTTGAGTAACCTCTATTATCTGTGTTTTTAGCTTCATGCAAGATGTCGGTCTGGGTGTTTTGGTGGATTCGGAAATAGTTTTTGACCTTTCCTCGATCTCGTACACA